TGCAGGGACTGCATCCGCCATTGACCTAGCTGACAGCATGTTCCTCTACAAAAAGGGTTTTAAGTTGAATCGATGATTGGGATGTCGAGTGCAGATTGGGGTGTGCTCCTTAACGCACCTGTAATTAGTAACGATTCTACGCTTTGGACCTTATAAATACTTTTGCAAAAGGTATTTTTGGCTAAAGATTGCTACCTCTTCATAATTAAGAATTGGACGAACTGATTCATATAGCAATTTGATTATATGCGGCATAAGTCCCCAGCTCTTCCATATGGATTTTTTGTAAGAATAAAGTGCGATTAAGCCCTATCATCGCCCGCTCCTCAATATTCCTTTTTCAATTTAATTTTTTGTCAAGGACGCTACCGATACTTCCATTGAAAAGCTTAACCTAACTCTATCCAGCAAAAGTAACGAAAAATCTGGGATTTCCGGTTTCCTTGTAAAAAGTGCAAGCACAGTTTTGAATTGGTTCACACCGAGTCCGTAACATCGTTCCCATCTAGAATGTTTATAACGAGCTCCCTGCCACGACTTCTGTTCTGTCAAGATCTTTTAGTATGTCGTTTATCACCAGAAGCCTGAGTAATGGTGTCTGAACACCTCCCTGTGGGGTACTCCAAGTAACCGATTTTCTAATAGAGAACACCCCGATTCTTGTGTTGATGATTCTGCTACTGAGCATAACATCAATCCACTCAATTAGGAGTGGTGGTATACCAAGTTTTGTAAGGGAACCATGAATTGCCTCAAGTGTGACATTTTTGAATGCCCCTTCTATGTCAAGAAAGGCTGCCAAAGTGAATCACAATTCATTCAGATTCTTCTCCACAAAACTCACGATGTCATGCTGCGATGTTTCAACAGATTTACCTTTCGTGTAGGCATGTTGAGCAGTGCTTATCGAGATCAAAGGTAGATATTATCTCAACATCTATTAGTCTCTTCAGTATTTTCAATAGAAAATAGTAATAGTAAAACAGTAAAGACAAGCTCTTTCAGTCAATCTTCGAATAGCAGCCATCGGCTGCAGCTGATTTTACCTTCCGGTTCAGCCTTGTCGATGATTGCTACTCGAAGATTGACCGGGTAGATGGTGGTATACCAAGTTTTGTAAGGGAACCATGAATTGCGTGAGATTTTTGAATGTCCCTTCTATGTCAAGAAAGGCTTCCAAAGTGAATCAAAATTCATTCAGATTCTTCCCTCATGCTGCGCTGTTTCAACAGATTTGCCTTTCATGTAGGTATGTTGAGCAGTGCTTATCGAGGTCAAAGGTAAATATGATCTCAATATCTATTAGTCTCCTCAGAGTTTTCAATAGAAAATACGAAAGACTGGAGGGAGTAGAGAAGCTGTTCACGGCGCTGGGAAAGAAAGGGGCAATCTCATCGTTGGATCCGATGCCAACGTCCACCAACGAATGCAATCCCACGGGTTCTACGATCCAGTATGTACATGTACATGTTTGCGAGACTACAGTGAATGATAGGACAGTGATGATAGGATCTCAGTCACTTTCAACGAAGTAATGGTGACTGATCCGAAGAGGTGCGCGGAGTATTTCAACCGACAATATGTCAAGCACCCCGAGAGCGACAGGGCGAAGCGAAGAGTACTACGTCGTATCAGATCTCTTCCCACCGAGGACGAACCACCACAGTTTACGATGGTTGATGTTGCAAATGTCATCCGGGGCCCAGACGGAATTTCAATGGTAATGTTGAAACAGCTGGATACGCCGGGAGTCGAGTACCTAACGAAAGTTCTCAATATGTCGTCCACATAGTGCCCGAACCTGGAAAATGGGCCGGGTGGTCCCGCTACCGAAGCCAGGTAAGGATGCCAGTAAAGGCGAATCGTACAGGCCGATTTCGCTTTTGTCGCCAGTAGCTAAGACTCTTGAGGCTTTACTCCACACCAGCATTAGAGGAAGCTATCCAGTTGCCAACCATCAGCACGAAATTCGTGTACAACATAGTATCACAACAGCATTACACGTCATATTAGTAGAGGATTGAACCATAACAAGCCGTGTGACAGAACAGTGTTAGTAGCCCTTGGCCTATCAAAGGCATTTGATACGGTCAATCATGCTATACTGTTTGAGGACGTGCGGAGAACCACCCTCCGGCCAAGTTTAAAACGTTGGATAATCAACTATATGTGGACGCCAGTCGTACGTGGAATTCCGGAACAAGAAGTCCAAAGCCCGTAGAGTGAAACAGGGAGTTCCCCCAGGTGGGGTAATATCTCCGGAAGTGTTTAACCTATACCTTTCCGGAATTCCTTGTATTCGTTTGCGGATGATTGTACGATCATGGCGTCGAGCCCAGTGGGCGATGACATATGTATAAGGTTGTACTCCTATCTCTCGAAGCTTGCCGCATACTTCCACGCAAGGAATATGAGAATATCCACCTCGAAATCAACGGGCACACTCTTTACCACATGGTCTGCGAAGATGAGAAGACAGCAGAGTGTGCAGGTCGAGGGAATTTAATACAGACCACGAACTACCCCAAGATTCTAGGGGTCACATTCGCGACAAGATGAAAAGCAGGAAGAAGATCCTCAAAGCGCCAGCCGGTAGCACTTGGGGTGTGGACAAGGAAACCTTGTTGACCTCTTATAACGCGATAGGTCGGCCTGTGGTCAGCTTTGCGGCTCCAGCGTAGCCCGCGAACTTTAGTGCTAAGCAGTGGAAGCACATCCGGACATGCCAGAACGCTGCCCTGAGAACTGCGACAGGGTGCCTTCTACATGAGGAGGCGAAAGTCCTTCCCTTATGCTTTCGTTGCAGTACCTGCTTGGCTGTTACCATGAGAGTCATCCCAACCATCATATGGTGGATACAACTTCCCCACGCAGGCGTGGCATTAAGGACATACACGATCTAGAGAGGGAGGTCAAACGTTATAAGAGAGAACCTTTAGATCAAGAAGCCTATCAGACAGGTCTGAGTAGCATTTATACCGATGCAGTCGCGGATGCTATTAGCAGTTACAAAATTAATGCCGAAACACTTACATGTACTACTGCTACAACAACAACCAACGAATGCGATTATGCATCATTCATTCTGCTATAAACTTAATGGTTTTATTTTTTATGAACTGTCAAAATTTTTGAAATATCCACTTCTACTTCGTGGCCAGGTCCCTCATACGGTAGGTAGAGAGAAAGGAAAATGAGAACCCTCCAGGATTTAGATTCCATTCTCGCCACCGTAACGTCTCCTCCATTGTAGTTGCTAAGGAGATAAGATTTAAACTACTTTTGGCAACAATACACATCCTTATCTTATCACCATTGGAGACCGCGTAAGAGACGTACTGCCACTCCCTAGTCCAGTTACCCTATTATTGTATATACAGGGTTCCTGAACCAGTGCTATGTCTACTTCAGCTTTCGTGAGGGATAGGAGGAGTTCGGCAGCAGCTGATGCAGATAAATCTGCATGATGCTAAGTAGCTGCTGTTTTCTTCCTCGTAATGCAACGGCGTTAGCCGAAAACGGATCCAGTCGGCGCCGAAATGCAATTTTCCCACACGAGCTTGAAGGTACTCCTGGCCATCCGTATCCATAGATACTTTGATGACCAGGCACCCTCCTTCAGTGCTTGAACTGACAAGACGCCAGTTGTCTGTTCTGAGGTTAGAGTTTTGCTCGCCCAGTATTGTCAGGATGCGTGCTGGATCCACAGATGGTGGTGGCACCCAAGCTGTCAATACCTTACGGCAGGGGATGTCCTTTAAGGTCACCTCTCCACTAAAGACAAGCTCCCTCAGTCGATCTTCGAATAGCAGCCATCGGCTGCAGCTAATTTTACCTTCCGGTTCAGCCTTGTCGATGATTGCTACTCGAAGATTGACCTGGTATATGGTTTGAGAACACTTGCTCTTCCGCCCTGTTTGGCTTGCCGGTTGTGACTTGACCTCCGCCTTGTGGACCGACTTGCTGACGGACGGAGTGGAAGTTGTAGGTGTAGGCTGAGAAGCCGGGGCCGTAGATGCCTTCATGGCCTCAGGGTGTGGTTCCTCCGTAGACCGACCTCTCTTCAACGCTGAGCGTGAAGAGTTGTCAGCTTCCTTTGGAGCTGGCAAGGCTGCGGCTATCACGAGCTCTGGTTTCTTGAGCTTCCTGTTTCTGCGCTTCTTGGCAGGTGGGTTTGACCCAGCAGGGTCAGCACTAACCACCACCGCGTGAACATCTACCGGAGTTGTTGATAGCAGATGGTAAGAGAGCTAGAAGAACCTGATTAAGAGAACAGCTTGGTAAATGCGGGTGATTCTTTTCGAACTTTGCAATTACTTTGATGTTCATCTTAATCAGAATCCACTCTCTCTCCGTTCTCTGCGCGGGGTACTGACAGCACCTACGTTGATGGCGCTTGCCTATCGAGGCTTGTAACATCAGAGGTGACTGACGATGATCCCTCCTGGAGTTGTGACTCTGCACAAGTCCCGTTGGGAGTGTTCTTAGTGGCTTCCTCATCCGAAAGTGGTGAGTCATTTCCAAAGCCAGAAGGAACACTTTCCTGACTGAGCCTCAGCGTTTTTGTCTTTCCCAGGAGAGCGGACAATTCTTTACTGTGTTTGTGAATACTGTCATGCATGACGTCACTGTAATTAAGTATTGAGTCGGCTCCTCCCGAGTTAAAAATCGAGTCCTGTAGCCGGTCCTTGGTCGTTGCTTCCTCAGAAGCAATAGTGTCATTGGTGTTTGTTGGGGGATTTGGTTCGACATGGTCGACATTTTGAAGAATTTCTGTAAAATTGATTGATTGATTGATTCTGTACAATTCATTCTTCTGTAAACCTATTGGTTCTATTTTTTATGATATCGAAATTTTCAAGAGTTTCTGTAAAATTGGTCAGATATGTGAAATTATCAGATAAATACATTAAATGTCTTTCTGACGATGGCGTATGCGATTATTCATCATTCATTCTGCTATAAATTTATTGGTTCTATTCTCTATTTTCATGCAAAAGTACCTGGATTCAAACGTGGAACTCCAGTAAAATCGGTAGGAGAATGGTTGGAGCTGTTATATGGGGGCTATGCTAAGACGGGAGCCTATATAGACAATTTTATCCAACGATTGTAATCTATCGCGAGCCTGAAATATCATAATTTTTAGACAAACGCGTAGAAAAATGCGGTTAAAACCATCAAAATGACGAATATCGGGGGGTACCGTTATACAGGGCCATACGAAAACGTGCTGCTATCCATCGGAGCTAGAACCCACACAACAACCTACATATACCAATTTGTAGACAAATCCAATGGAAAGTGTGGATAAAACCATTAAAATACCGAAAGTCGGGATGTACCTTCATATGGGGGCTTGAAACGTGCTGATTTCATCACGTACATTTATACAAACAATGAGAACAACAACAGCGGCCACTGCAAGTGCGACGCTAACAGCACCAACCAACCACCATTACCATGCACACACGACTCGGTCATACGCAGTCAACAAGGCGACAACAGCACTAGCCAACAAACGCAGCATTCATTGGGCGCGTGGTGAACAAAGTAGTTTTCGGTGGTGTGCTGCTCACAGCGTAAGGCTAAAAATTCGCAATGACTTGGTAGAACCGGTCACATATAGTGTTCAGTTTGAGGTGCGATGAGGAAGGCTCGCTACTGCAGGAGCTTGCCAAAGGGTAGCTAGTGATTTTTCTAAAGATCAACGGCCGTCCTCCGACTAATAAAAGCGTTAGTCGGGAATACTTTTCCAAGACTGGCTCTCATTAATTTGAGTGGCTGGTAATTCATTTACACAGGAGTCTCGGCTCGCTGTTCCACAGGAACTTCGGTTCGCTGTTCCACAGGAGTTTCGGTTCGCTGTTCCACAGGAGCTTCGGCTCGCTGTTCCACGGGAACTTCGGTTCGCTGTTCTACAGGAGTTTCGGCTCGCTGTTCCACAGGAACATCGGTTCGTTGTTCCACAGGAGTTTCGGCTCGCTGTTCCACAGGAGTTTCGGCTCGCTGTTCCACAGGAACTTCGGTTCGCTGTTCCGTATAATAGTCAAACGTTGGTAGTGGAGTAGACGTAGTTAGAGAATCGTAGCTAGACTAGTTACCTCGCCCCTGTAGCCGACCCGAATAAAAAGAACCCGAGCTGCCGAACGAGCCACGATCCATCTACACAGCGTAACGCATCGGTTGCTGAATCTACCCTCAACGAGCTGCCGAACACGTACGAATGTCAATCCGCTCACGAAGACCTGGACAGCTGCTCCCGATTACCTTCTAATCGTCAACAACCCTCATCACACGAACACCAATATCGTAATTCCTGATCGTCGACAACCGACGACCACAAGTTCCCGATTACCTTCAAATCGACAACGACCATGAGTTCCCGATTACCGTCAACAGAACGCATCACCCGAACACAATCATCATAATTCCTGATCGTCGACAACCGACGACCACAAGTTCCCGATTACCTTCTAATCGTCAACAACCCTCATCACCTGAACACCAACATCGTAATTCCTGATCGTCGACAACCGACGACCACAAGTTCCCGATTACCTTCAAATCGTCAACGACCATGAGTTCCCTATTACCGTCAACAGAACGCATCACCCGAACACAATCATCGTAATTCCTGATCGTCGACAACCGACGACCACAAGTTCCCGATTACCTTCAAATCGTCAACAACAGTTATCACCCGAACACAATCGTCGTAATTCCCGATCGTCGACAACCGAAGACTACAAGTTTCCGATTACCGTCAAATCGTCAACAGAACGTATCACCCAAACACAATCATCGTAATTCCTGATCGTCGACAACCGACGACCACAAGTTCCCGATTACCTTCAAATCGTCAACGACCATAAGTTTCCAATTACCGTTAAATCGTCAACAGAACGCATCACCCGAACACAATCATCGTAATTCCTGATCGTCGACAACTGACGAACACAAGTTCCCGATTACCTTCGAATCGTCAACGTAAGCGTCACCCGAACGCAACACCGTAATTCCCGTAATCAACCACCCGAGTATTCATTGTGTGCACCCGACGTCATCGTTCTCGATTGTCCACGAGTCGTACACCCTCCTGCATACGATACGAGTTAGCATCGAATCCCCGATCATCAACTAAGCACCAGTACCTTGAAATCACGAACATCTCCGAAGTCCATTTGCCATCCTATATTCCATATTTATCTTATCGTATTTCAACCCGAGTAGATTGTAATTTAGAATTAAAGATCAATAAAACATCCGATTTTTACCCCCAGGAAAGGGAGAAATCTACTCTTATTATTTCATAAGATTTAGTGGGTCCTTATGGAGACCCTGGATACAGCTGATCTTACCTCAGCCGACGAGAAAACCACGTTACAGGCTATACCTATAACGAGCTACAAATTCCAATTTTTAGACAAATTGGTGGAAATATGTGGCTAAAACTATTAAAATACTGAATGTCTGCAGGTACCATTATATGGGGGCTATACGAAAACGTGGACCTATATGTACAATGTTCCGCCACTAGAGCTAGAACCCATAACGAACTACAAATAAAATTTGTAGAGAAATCGGTGGAAATATGTGGCTAAAACCATAAAAATACCGAATGTTGGGATGTACCTTCATATGGGGGCTATACCTATAACGAGCTACAAATACCAATTTTTAGACAAATTGGTGGAAATATGTGGCTAAATCAAATAATGTGAGCTGTATCGTGATTTCATTGAGACGGACAACGTTAAATCGACTTAGAATTTTATGCTGATTATGCATATATATATTTTATGGGGTCTGTGACGAATATTTAAAGGTTTTACAAGCGGAATGGCAAATTTAATATACCATCCTTTCCAAGATGGACGATATAAAAAAGTGTAGATCATAGTAAATACTGAATAATAAATTATTCAAATAACGGCAAACCGAAGAAACAAATATAAAACAAGTAAAAAACATTAAGTTCGGCCGGGCCAAACTTTTAATACCCTCCACCTTAGGGTAAAGGAAACATTAGAAGAAATGTGGCAAAAACCATTAAAATGCCGAATATCGGGAGGTATATGGGGGCTCTACCAAATCGTGGACCTACACATGCAAGGTTCCGCCAACGGAGCTAGAACCCATTATGACCTACAAATACCAATTTTCAGACAAATACGTGAAAAAAGGGGCAAAAATCGTCAAATTACCGAATATCGGGAGGTACCGTTATATGGGGGCTATACCAAAACGTGGACCTATAATTACAATGACTCGCCACACGAACTGGGACCCATTATGATCTACAACTACCAAATTTTCAGTGAAATTCGTGAAAAAATCAGTCAAAAATCATCAAAATACCGAATATTGGGAGCTACCGTTATATGGGGACTATACCAAAACGTGGACCTATACATACAATGTTTCGCCACACGAACTAGGACCCATTATGACTCACAAATACCAATTTTTACACAAATCAGTGAAAAAATGTTGCAAAAACCATCAAAATACCTAATATCGGGAGGTACCGTTATATGGAGGCTATACCAAATCATGGACCCATACATGCAATGTTTCGCCACCGGAGCTGGAACTCATTATGACCAACAAATACCAATTTTTAGACAAATCCGTTAAAAACTGTGGAAAAAATAATCAAAATATCGAATATCGGGAGGTACCATTATATGAAGGCTATACCAAAACGTGGACCTATATATGCTATGTTTTGCCACACATACAGGGACCTGTTATGACCTACAAATACCAATTTTCAAACAAATCCGTTAAATAATGTGGCATAAATCATCAAAATACCGAATATCGGGAGGTACCGTTATATGGGGACTATACCAGAACGTGGACCGATATATCTCATTTTCAATACCAACCATCCTAGACACAATACCAATTGCTCTGCTAAATTTTGGCGCTCTACGTCAAATAATGTGGGCTGTATCGTGATTTCAACAGACAGACAGACGGACAGACAGACAGACAGACAGACGGACAGACAGACAGACGGACATCGTTAAATCGACTTAGAATTTTATGCTGATTATGAATATATATACTTTATGGGGTCTACGACGAATATTTAAGGATGTTACAAACGGAATGACAAAGTTAATATACCCTCCTTTCCAAGGTGGAGGGTATAAAAATAAAAAAAACTTGTAGACCAGACATTACATATAAGGTACATTATTGCACTTAATGCTCTTTCTACGAACATCTGATCGAACTCTTTCTTTAGATGACAGTTTTTTCCAGTAGTTACATGTATCACTATAGAGTAAACACAATTATTAACTTCGCTAACGCACAACCGGCAAAATGAGCGATCGCATTTATTGTCATTTGAGATCGATTGTCAGAAATGATTTCAATCGCCAACTTAATGAACGTTCGCTGTTGTGTGCTCGCGCTCGTTTGTAATGTGTGTGCGAACATTCGTTTGATAAACGTTCGTCTGGTAAAGAATTTATCGTGATAAAATACAATCGCAAAATAAGCTCGAATGAGAAGATCGTATTTTGATGGTTTTAACCGCATTTTAACCGTTTGTCAAAAATTATGACATTTAAGGCTCGCGATAGATTACAATCGCTGGATAAAATTGTCTATATTGGCTCCCGTCTTAGCATAGCCCCCATATAACAGCTCCAACCATTCTCCTACCGATTTTACTGGAGTTTGTAGTTTAAAGTGGAACTCGCTTGAATCCAGGTACTTTTGCATAAAAATGTTTTCTTTACACAATGGTATATATTTTTCATAAAATGTAAATAGGCATGTGAAGTGTTCAGTATTTATTTTTTCTTACTGCCCGGTGTGTTTCATGGGACTTGGGCAATTGGAAAGAAATGGTTATTGCATGTTAGCAGGGACCATAATTATGTCCCATCTAAAAAGCAATAGGATACAGGATGAATAAGCAGTAAAAACAGCAATATTGTAAACACCATCATAAAACGTTCTATCAAACTCAAACATTCGGTCAGATGTAACGTGCTCATGCGAAACGAAAAAGTTGTGGGAGAACATTAATTGATCGAAGCTTTGTGTTCGAAACTCGATTGAAAGAAAAAAATCACAGTTGTGATTGCTCACTTCAATTCATGTGTTCGATCAATTCATGTAGCTGAACTCATCATATGCTCTCGAACACTCATGTTTGATTGTAAGCTAAGTGATTCAAACTGAGCGTTCGATTCGATCCGATGCGAAAAAGATTATTTCATTAAGATTAAATCAAACGACTGAATCAACAAAAATCATGTAAGAAACCGAGTATGATTGCATTTTTTCATACTCGTTGCAGCCCTCTGATGCAGAATCACATACTTCATCGTCAGAATGGCATTTTATGCATTTATTTTATAAATCCACATGTCTGAAGAATTTTACATAAATTCTCAAAAATGTCGATCTCCCAAAAATTTTGATTGTCCATAAAAAATAGAACTAATGAGTTTATAGCAGAAAGAATGATGCAGAATCGCATACACCATCGTCAGAACGACATTTAACGCATTTATTTTAAAATCGGACCAATTTTTCAGAAATCCTTCAAAATGTCGACATCCTCACGTCTGAACAATTTTCAGAAATTCTTGAAAATATAGATGTAAGAAAATATATCATAATAGAACCATTAAGTTTATAGCAGAAAGAATGATGCAGAATCGTCTACACCATCGTCAGAACAATATTAAATGCATTTATTTGATCATTCCACACGTCTGAGCAATTTTAAAGAAATTCTTGAAAATGTCGATATACCAAAAATATTGATTGTCCATAAAAATCTGAACCAATAAGTCTATAGCAGAATGAATGATGCAGAATGGCATACGCCAACATCAGAATGACATTGTTTTGATAGTAGGATCTAGTGCGATTCAATTCAAACACATAAATTTGAACTGACACTTAGTATCCAAATTAATTTCCTTGCAAGCACATGAACTTGAAGGAAGCCGCCTAGATAGTAATTAAAACTCTTGGTTTAGTCACTACAAAAGACGACTGAATTTTCTTTATTTCTGGCTGTCTTTATATACATAATTTCTTAACATAATTAATTAAAATGCTATTGATAAATGCTGATATAAATTAACTGTAATGTAGGTCGGCTACTAGTAGACATTAAATGCTATGTAAGCAAAATAAATAAATGTGTTAAAGAAACTTAAAAACATTGCAAAAGTGAATGAACCAATGGCCAATGAACTAAAATAAAGAAAATTAACTGTAACAATAAAATAGTCCAAATATGTGATATAATAATGCTGTATAAGCAGTTTAAAACTTATAAATATGTAGGTGTGCTTGATTTTTGTATTTATTGTTTGTTTTGGTAACTAAATCTAAAGTATGTTTATAGAACAATAAAAAAAAAAAATATTTATGTATGTTTTAACATTCTCCGCCGCGTTGACATTGTTCAATGAGTGCGCCTGGGTTGGATGCATGTGGGAATGACTCCATTGTAACATCGATGAGATCTTATAGCTGGTGTAGGTATGAATTGAGATGGCTTCTTAAATTTTGTGTGGATCCTCCAACTCAGCAGGCCAAGTAAAATAAGAATGCAGCAAGCTAAAGATGCGTAGCTAACTGCATGATGATGTTGATTTGATGAGTGTATTAATTGTGGTAGGTGTTTTAGAGTTGATTCGTGCAACTGTTTTTGTATATTATCCAATTCTTCTTTATGAATCTTGTAAGAGGTGGTATTGGTATTTGTTGAAACCTTTTCAATTTCCTCTTGTTGACTTATATATTGAATGCCTTTCAATGTATGTATGTAAACTACTGGAAGCTGCAAAATGTCCATGTATCGTAACAAATTTGTTTTTTATTACGCAGTTAGGACCAATTTCCATTATTCCGGAATTTTTAATGATGATGAGGTTGGTTTCAGATCCGCATACCATTGAAGATTCAATATCGGCTGTAGTAGCAAAGATCCATTTATTTTGATGATGTAATTGACTCCAAACTGCTGTTCCAGTAATTTTGTGAAGACGGCAATTGCTAGTTGATTGGTTATTGAAGATATTGATCTCGCAAGGGTTAACAAGTGCATTTTTCTTGAGCTTTGACTGCTGATTTCTGCAAATATATTCATCATCGTTTGGTTTGAGGCAGCTTGAAATATCCTCTGATTTGACAAGAATATATTCTTCTCTATGTGCATCGGTAGATATGTATTCCGTTTCTGGTTGAATGGCGATTAAGGTGTCATTTTGTATTGTTGGAACTGCAACTATTTTGAACAACTCAAAAAACTGTTGGTTAACTAAGGGTATCTTCACTTCAAAAATGATTTCATATTTTGTAACTGCCCCTTTGACACTCATAAGCTTATAAAGTTGAATCAAATTGTCACCTGATGTTGGCAAAGCATGTGAAATTGGAAGATTAGCCTTAATGACACTAATTTCTTCTTTCAATTGATGAGGAGCCAATAACAGGGGACTTATTTTTCCATGATGAGTATCAGTAAGTACATTAATGATTTCGGCCTGTGTTCTCTGTAGATTTATTGCGGATAACATTAAATGCGTTGATAGAAGTCCAAACAGTTGAGAATTGTTGAATTGGGAGGATTCTTCAGCTATATCGTTATTGTGTTTGTCAGTCATTTTCAAAATCTCCCGTATTTTTGATGAGTGTTAATCTCATCCTGCTTTATAACATTAATAGTTGAATGAATTATTGAAGTCTGATTTTTCAATAGACTGATTATGTGGTCCTTTTCGCCTTTTGCCTGGTTGATAGTCTGTGACATTTCTTCCGCATAGTCCGTATCAAGAACGCCAAAAAGTAAGTGCGCAATATTCCCAATTATGTTGAATGGAGATCTTTTTACACGTTTGTTGATGAATAATTCTTTGTCTTGTAGTAATTCATTTTTCGTCTGCTTCAGGTTGTTTACAAAAATGTTGCACATCTCATGCTGATGCATTACATGGCACATTTGCTACAACGTTTGTAAGCCGGATGCCAATGACTCTATTTCCGAAACAAAGGGATTTAAGTCATAATATACTAACATCTTCCATTCTGCCGTATTCAGTTTCATTGTTCCTAACCCTTCAAAATATAATCCCGGATCATTGTGAAATTGTGTAACTTTCAAATTGTTGCACAGGACCATAGGTATTAGGAACAATGTTAATAATACTGATAGTATTATAGGACTGTTTGCAATTCTCACTCTTTTTGCCGGAATGACATCTCTTCCATGTTCATCTGTTACCGATTTTTTCTTGTAGGAAATTGTGCTTTCTTGAGTTGTAGCTTTGTCAATTATATCATTATCATGATCTTCTGGAAACAGTGGTGCTAGTCGATGGATTGGGTTGGGGTTTTTATTTCAGCAACTCTTACAGCTCCGTCATCACCGAAAAATACGTTAAGAACTCTCCCAATGGCCACTTCATTGGAGGTAGATTGTCTTCCTTTATAATGACCATATCTCCTTTTCTAAGATTGGACATCTTTTGCCTCCATTTGTTACGTTGCTGGAGTTCTTGTAGGTATTCTTCCGACCACCTTTTCCAGAATTGGTGCTTAATATGCGAAATTAACTTCCAGTGTGTTATCCTGGATGTTTTCGAAGTTTCTGCTCTACTATCTACCTGCGAAGTTAGAGCTTCGCCGATTAGGAAATGTCCCGGCGTCAATGCTTCAAGGCAATCTGGATCGTTTGAAAGAGGTGTGAGCGGACCCGAATTTAAAATAGCTTCGATTTCTACTATTATTGTCTCTAATTCTTCATGAGTAAGTGTTTCCGTTGAAACACTACGGACCAAGAGACGTTTTGCGGACTTCACTGCAGCTTCCCATAAGCCTCCGAAATGCGGAGCTCTTGGTGGAATGAAATGGAACTGTATGCCCTTGGAACTTGCAGCTGATAAAAGTAGCTCTTGCGCCTTGTCCGAATATAAGGTTTCAGATAATTCCTCTAAACTATTTTTGGCTCCAACAAAGTTTGTAGCGTTATCGCAGTATATATTTTGGCAGTGACCTCTGCGAGCTATAAATCGTTTAAGAGCGCCAATGAATGATTCGGTTGATAGGTCCGATACGAGCTCTAAATGAACAGCCTTTGTTGCAAAGCAGCAGAATACAGCGACATAAGCCTTTGACCTGACCTTGTAATGTATCCAAAATGGCCCACAGTAGTCGACTCCAGAGTTGATAAATGGTCGAGCAGGAACTACCCTTGTTGCTGGCAAATTTCCCATTATTTGTTGATACAGTTGTGGTCGCGCTCTATTACATTTTATGCATCTTTGAACAGTAGACCTTGCTGTTATCTTGCCTTTTATTGGCCAGAATCGCTGTCTTATTGCGTTTAACAGGGCTTGAGCTCCACAATGTTTATTTTCTTCATGAACTGTCTTAAATAGCAATTTCACCAAAGGATCATTATAAGGCAATATCATTTGGTGTTTCGCATCCATTTGTAGCATAGCATGTTCCAATCTTCCTCCAACGCGAAGAATGCCTTCATCATCCAAAAACGGTGATAAACTGCATAGCGAGCTATGCTTATTAATCTGCTTTTCAGCCTTCAATGCGTTGATATCAGCTGCAAATTCGGATGATTGTACGGCTTGAATTATTCGACGAAGGGAATCGTCTAATTCGTTGGAAGACACTGCTATATGTTGAGGCCGGTGTGCCTTTTGCATACGTGCATTGCTGGTGAATCTAAGCACGTATGCCAAAATTCTTTGTAACTTCCTGAATGAATTTTTGTGCTCGATCATATGTATTAGATGCATGTCAGAAGCTACTATTGACGTCGTAGCTGCAGTCTTTAACTCCATGCTATTTGTTATATCCTCTTGCGGAGAGAATTTGGTCGGCCATAGTTCTTCCTTTCCATGAAGAAAAACTGGACCATGAAACCATAATCGGCATTTAGAAAGATCAGCTGGCGAGAGTCCTCGGGATAAAATGTCGGCAGGATTTTCTTTTGACTTAACGTGGTTCCATTGTTCTGGCACTGTTAAGTTTTGTATGGTGGATACCCTATTAGCCACAAAAGTCTTATATACGTTGGACCTTGATTTTATCCAGGCGAGTACTATTTCAGAATCAGTCCATAAAAACATCGGATTATTCTGAAGCCTTAGGTCATTTTTCACCCTGGTAGCCAGTTGAGCTGCTACCACTGCGGCACATAGCTCTAATCGTGGTAGAGTTTGTTTTTTCAAAGGAGCTACCCTGGATTTAGCACAGATCAGACGTACAACGACTCGTCCATTTTTTCCAATAAAACGAATATAAATAGCCGCGCCAAAAGCTCTTTCCGATGCATCGGCAAACACATGCAACTGGATTTTCGTCGGGATCTCCCCACAGAATACATGTCGCGGTATCTTAAAGTTGTTGAGACCTTCCAATTCCCTTCGAAATGTTTTCCAAGTGGCACAAAGTTTTTCGGGTAATGCTTCGTCCCAATCTAATGTATGTTGCCACAGCTGCTGAATAAATATTTTTGCCTTCACCACAATCGGTGCAAGTAGGCCAAGCGGATCAAATAATTTTGCTAGTTCAGACGTAACTACTCGTTTTGATAGGATTTCATTATGATCAATGTTCGTTTTTACACAAAATTGATCTGCTTGCAGCATCCAATATAATCCCAACGTCGTTATTGTTTGAGATTCGTTGAGATCCAGGTTCACTTCTCAATCGCTATGTGGTATGTCCTTCAGCAATCTTGGTGTATTGGATGACCATTTCCTTAGAATGAAGCCGTGTTGTTTCAAGATTGTTACTAACTCCTTTTGTATTTTAATAGCAGTACTTAGGCTATCTGCACCGCCGAGACCGTCATCCATATAAAAATTATCTTTCAGCATTTGTGAGCCTAATGGATAACGCTCCATGTTCTCGTTTGCAATCTTTTGTAAGCATTTTGTAGCCAGATACGGTGCTGAACGTGTCCCATATGTGACCGTATTAAGTTTGTAATAACTGACTGGATGGGATGGATCCTCTCTCCAGATAATTAGCTGATACCTTTGATCATCGGGATGCATTAAAATCTGCCTGTACATCTTTTCAATATCGGTTGTGAAGACGAATTTTGGCAATCGAAACCTCAGCAAAATAGAAAACAATTCACTTTGTACGATTGGTCCTGTATACATTAGATCATTTAACGATTGACCAGATGAAGTTTTCGCTGATGCGTCAAATACAACCCTAAGTTTTGTTGTTGTACTATCGGGCTTAAGAACACAATGATGCTGAATAAAATATTTAGGATTTGATACGGTACACACGTCAATCTTTTGCATGTGTCCTAATTGTTCATATTCTCGCATAAATTTAATGTACTGACTTCGGATATCTTCCTTCTGTAGAAGTCGGCGTTCAAGGCTCATAAATCGGTTATAAGCCATTGCATGTGATTTCCCCAATGCTGTTGGAGATTCTTGAAACAGAAGGCTGACGATGAAACGACCATTCTGATCCGTCTTAACATGTTGATTGAAGTGAGATTCGCAAAGGGTTTCTAATGGAGACATGACCTTTTCAGTTGATTTCACTTCCTCAAGTTTCCATAATTTTTCGATAGCTTGTTCCAGTGATGTTTCACTAAAAATTGCGCATGTTAGCGCTGCTGATGTGTCGTCCGTTGACGATTGTTGAATTAAACCACCTACAATCCAGCCAAGCGCAGTATTTTGGAGTATGGGTTGATGACCATTTAGTTTTATTGTGCCTGGTTGCATTAAACTGAAGTAAAACTCAGCTCCGAGTAAAATGTCAATTTTTCCTTGAACGTTAAAATTAGGGTCTGCTAATCTAATATTCTTGGGAATTTGCCAGTTTTGTATATCCAAATCATGATTTGGTTGCGGAGGTATAATTGTGGGCAAAACAAATGCTTCCAAATTTGTGGAAAATTCAGAATTGCTTGATAACATTTGTATGTTTACCCGATGATAAGCCTTCTTCTGAATCCTTCCGACTCCGGAAATAGATAAAGAGGCATCTGCTGTTCTAAGTGACAATTTTTGTATGAGTCTTTCCGTCACAATGTTCACTTGCGAACCCGAGTCTAACACCGCTCTAAATTCGCCTGACATACCGTTAGTCGCTTTGATGATGACTCTAGCCGTTGCTAGGATTACCCTTTTCTGATCTTCTGCTGATGCCGAAGAAACTGCAGTAACGTTGACTGGTGCGATATCGATTTTTGTTGGTGGTGATTGATTTGAGGCCTTCGGCGACGGTTGAGACTTTTTTGGCAAATGTAGCAATGTATTGTGCTTATTACTACATATTTTGCAGTTGCCAGAAAAACAAGTTTTTGCTGCATGGTCCGATTTGAAACAATTTACACACAATTTATGTTGTTGTATCCATTTCAATCGCTCACCTTCTGTCATTGCCAAGAACTTCTTACAATGAAAAATTGGATGGGAGTCGTTCTTGCATAGTTTACAACTCCTGTGATCCTCCACTGATGTTACGGACGAAACAGTTTTGGTTGAACCCTTGTGAGTAGATGCCGCTTTTCCAATCGATTCCATTCAAATTGCAGTTCCAAAAATGCAAACAGCTTTTTCATAGTAGGAACTTCCTTCGGTTTCGCCAGTGATTGCATGAATCGTATGTACAGAGCGTGATCCAATTTCTTTGTGATCAATTGAATCAATAGAGCATCCCAAGACGTTGTGTCGATTTGAAGATTGTTGAGGGCTAGCATGCATTCCTTTGTAGTGTCATGCAGAGCCTCGATGGAGGCCGTTGATGAAGTTCCATTTGGTTGACTCAGAATCCGCTCTACTAGAGTGGAAACAAGAACCCGCTTATTGTTATAACGTTCTTGCAGCAACATCCATGCCGTTTTGTAATTATCCTCTGTCAAGGATAGATACTGATTAGTTTGCCAGCCTCGCCAGACAAATTGGTTTTGAGATACCACATTTTTTGAACACTTGGAAGAGACTGTTTGTCTACCATCTCCAAGAAAAGTTCATAGAACTGACGCCACTTCAAACAATCCCTATTGAATTGAGGAATTGTTACCTTTGGTAGTGGGAGTGAACTGTGTGCTATAATGTCACTCCCTAATTGAGGTGCAATGGTCACGGTTTCGCTGCATTTGTCTTTCAAGACTGCTAGTTTTATTAAGTTGTCTTGTACCGAATCTTCCAGTATATCGTAGTTTTCTTGACTTAATCCAATTTTCGATGGATCTTCAATCTGCTGCAATATTTCATCGTAGAGCTCCGTTATTTGATTCCATAGCTTTTTTATAGTATCTTCTTTGATGCTATAAAATTGCTTCGGCTGTTCCGCTTCGATTGTGCCCAAGCCTTGCAAGTGACGACTAAGGGCACTCATTCGAGCATTTATCATTCTGACAATCCCATCAACACGGGAAGGTATTTTGTCTACTGCGACAACTTCAGTCGATTTCTCTCTCAAGGTGGGAACTGGCTTACTTTTGGCTGACCTCAGTTTCTTCATTTCCGCGTCTATATATTCCATTGTTGAGCTGAACTTCTCTCCAATCGTTTTATATAGATTCCGAGCATTATACGGATCATTCTCTGACAATGATGGATCATCGCGAATTCTGTTTTCTGCCTTCTCAAAATTCTGCCATAACAGCCTTAGTTCATCAAGTTTGCTCTTGTAGAACTCTTCCGTTCTCCTTTCAAGAGGTGCCTTCTTTATAGTAGAGACGAATTTTTCGAAATTGCTGCCTCTTTCTTCTTGCTGAGAAATAAGCTCTTGGACGTTTGCCATTATTGTTTGTTGATTTGTCAGCGAGTAGCAGCAGTTGTTGTATGATGATTAGTTACAGGCAATTTCCTCCTGGTTTTCCTCCAGAGCTCCAAAAAGGGGGTTTTTGAAATTGGTACGCGTGCGTTACGTCCTCACACCTTGTGGATAACGTCACCAAAAAATGTTTCGGTTTAGTTACCGTCAGGACCACGTCGGGGTCACCAAAAAATGTTTTGATAGTAGGATCTAGTGCGATTCTATTCAAACACATAAATTTGAACTGACACTTAGTATCCAAATTAATTTCCTTGCAAGCACATGAACTTGAAGGAAGCCGCCTAGATAGTAATGAAAACTCTTAGTTTAGTCACTACAAAAGACGACTGAATTTTCTTTATTTCTGGCTGTCTTTATATACATAATTTCTTAACATAATTAATTAAAATGATATTGAGAAATGCTGATATAAATTAATTGTAATGTAGGTCGGCTACTAGTAGACATCGAATGCTATGTAAGCAAAATAAATAAATGCGTTAAAGAAACTTAAAAACATTGCAAAAGTGAATGAACTAATGGCCAATGAACTAAAATAAAGAAAATTAACTGTAACAATAAAATAGTCCAAATATGTGATATAATAATGCTGTATAAGCAGTTTAAAACTTATAAATATGTAGGTGTGATTGAATAAATAGAACAATAAAAAAAATATTTTTTAAATAGAACAATAAAAAAAATATTTATGTATGTTTTAACACACACACATATATATATATATATATATATATATATATATATAAATTTAGAGGGGTCACCAAAAAATGTTTTGATAGTAGGATCTAGTGCGATTCTATTCAAACACATAAATTTGAACTGACACTTAGTATCCAAATTAATTTCCTTGCAAGCACATGAACTTGAAGGAAGCCGCCTAGATAGTAATGAAAACTCTTAGTTTAGTCACTACAAAAGACGACTGAATTTTCTTTATTTCTGGCTGTCTTTATATACATAATTTCTTAACATAATTAATTAAAATGATATTGATAAATGCTGATATAAATTAATTGTAATGTAGGTCGGCTACTAGTAGACATCGAATGCTATGTAAGCAAAATAAATAAATGCGTTAAAGAAACTTAAAAACATTGCAAAAGTGAATGAACTAATGGCCAATGAACTAAAATAAAGAAAATTAACTGTAACAATAAATTAGTCCAAATATGTGATATAATAATGCTGTATAAGCAGTTTAAAACTTATAAATATGTAGGTGTGATTGAATAAATAGAACAATAAAAAAAATATTTTTTAAATAGAACAATAAAAAAAATATTTATGTATGTTTTAACACACACACACACACATATATATATATATATATATATATATATATATATATATATATATATATATATATATATATATATATATATATATATATATATATATATATATATATGGATCTAAAGCTAAAACTGTAGATGCATACGTTGCAATAAGCATTTTGAAAACACTCGAATTTCAGTATTCTCTGAACAAAGAATACACACACATAAACAAATAAAGTTGACATATTAAGCCAAGAAAAAAAATTTAAATCGTATGGTATCATAGCCCTACCTTGATTTTATTGTTCTATGGCTACTGCTACCAATCGAGAATACAAACGAAAAACGTACAACAAACAAAAATAAATCAGTCAGCACGATCTACCATGATCTAGTTGCCATAATTAAAACTGATATGTCAGAAGCTCCAACATCATGTAATAATAATGTACTTTACTCGTGGTTAATTTAATATGAAATTGGAGCATTTGGAAATTGAATTAAAACGTAAAGCGTGAGCTGAAGCATTTAAATATGAATATTGCTTTCCAAAGTTAGGGTAGACAAACAAAAACCCAAAAATTGATAATTAAAAAAAAAAACAGAAGAATTAACAGATAAATGAAATAAGGCCCAGATCTAACCCAAAAACATTACATAAGACCCACGTGTATATGAATTACAAATTTTGAAAAAGACAAAATATTATTACACACAAAATTACAACCAATGTATGGACTTCTAAATAATATATGTAAGCAAAATAAAACATATCCACTAAATACATTTAAAAACTAAATAGTTCTTATAAAAACAATATATTCTGAAGTTTAGCAAGATGAGTTGAGTATTTGTTAGTCATTGGTAAGTCACTTTTGGGGTCACACAAGTCTGATGGCTCAGAAAATACCATGGATGATTGTAAAAGTCATATGGGTAGTTAAAAAAACAATAGAGGTTAACATCTAAACCTTACTTAGTGGAAACTGTATTTGTATTTTTTAAATTGATATGCCAAAGGTGCTATATATCGAAATTACACATTCCGGCGGGATAAGCCGCAGTTTAAGACCTCAATACCATGTCCGCTCAACTAGATTGTTACAAGGCAAGGCAAGGCAACTTCAGCCATGAATGCCAATATTTAATAGTAGTTACACTCTAAGGCAAATTTCAAAACTGCATATACCGCAGCATTGCCGATTTTTAAAATGCAAATGAAGGTTTTTGGTTTTGAAAAGGGTTTTGGCAGCACTGGTGCAAATAAATAAATCTAACCAATCACAAAATGTTTTTAATAAGTAAAATGCGACTGATGATTGCATACCGCTAAGCCGAGGATGGCGGCATTTTTCATTCATTTAATATAATCCATTATATAGAATACATCTTTCCTTTCGGGCTGTTCCTATTTTCAGATTGTTTTTATGAATATTTATGTGAGTCATGGTCTTAGCCACACTGTCATGGTTTTAAGATGTATCGATAATAACACAATAAGTCTTCAAAATTATTTTATCTTTTGTTCACATATTACATTTTTTTTCAAATATATTTCTGCTTTTATTAAAGTTATCCTCCAGACCTGTGGTGCTACATATGGTTTTATAAACATTTATAAAACACTTTTTAGTCCTCGCTGAGAGGGGTTAGCAAAACTGTTGTTGCGAGAGGATAGAGCGCCATCTACCAGCACAGAAGTCCGCATTTATTGTCCGTTATTGCTTGTTTTCATAATTCTATTTATAGCAATGTTTGCCAAACCCCGTTTTAACCTTTTTTGGCTTTATTAAGTGGGATATTCTGTAATACAAATAAATAGAAGTAGTACACGTTTTTAATGTATATTTCTT